CCACAAATTAGCTTTTTACAGCAAGTCTCCCGTTAATGCTGATGCTCCTCCCCCTAGATCCATTACAGTACCACTCAGCTAGAGAAAGCAGACACAGCAGAGTCCCTTACCCCAACACCCTTATCACAATACAAATACTTTTCATCTGAAGACAAGACCAGCAATCATCATCCTGAAAGATGGCATTCTCTGCAAGCCCTTTAAAGGTTACAGAGGCTGGAGATGGTTGCAATGTCTGAGTAAGTCTGCATTTGAAAAACAGCACATCCACATGCATTAATGTGATATTTATGGAGCACGTACTATGTGCTCAGGAGTATGTAACAGAGCACTGTGCTGGGAAGCTCATATTATGTGTGCTAATTCTCATAGCATCCTGGGAGGTGGGTACAAAGTGTGTAATACTTCCCAGGATTTAAATGCAGGGTCCCAGCATTTTCTGTTTTTTCTTGTTTTCCTATCGGTGATTTTTTAAAAATGCATAGAATAATAGCTCAATGTAGATAAAGGGGACAGACATAGAAGAAAGTTTTAAGTACAATTCAGGAATTTTTTATTTTTGTGTTTGTAGTTACTATGAGACTTGTGAAAAATCCACTGAAACTGCAAAGATGGAGAACAGGTTGCTGGATGGGATGTCTCTAGAAATACTGGTTTTAATTTTTTGTAAAATAATTTAAGGCCCCAAAGTACATTGCTTTTCCCCACTTATCTGCTTTTGGGTTTCAGGAAATTGGGAGCACCAGCTCTGGAGAGAGTATGAATAGCTACCCCAAACTCTCATCTTCTCTAAGCAGTTCTGTGAGGCATTGCAGTGTGGGGTCAGACCTGGACAAGGTTCAGTAGATGGTGGATCTGGGCAGAGTTGGGACAGAAAATAGGTCCTAGGCTTCTGCTTTCTAGGCCACTAAGTAGTTTCAGTTTTGTCTTTTCTAAGCCCATCCAAGAGAAATTTGATTCCCAGAGTTTGTGTAATTTTTATCTATTTTGCCACTTCCCCATCTGTAACATACAATAAAAAGGAATTTAACCAAAACCCTTTTGTTTTTCCTGACCAATTATATTTGAAGCTAAATATTTATTCTTAGCAAGGCAAACACAATACAAATAATGACTTCTCTTTTGTCCATAAACAGCCCTGCAGGTGGTGGCATCAAAACTCACCAAACAATAAAAGGGAAGTAACCCAAATAAAGCTTAAGTCTCCTGTACAGTTTTCATCTTTGTACTGAATACATGACACTGAATTTAATCATTTATTCATGTGCTCTAGAATGCAAGTTCCTTGATGGTAGGGACCATGACTATTTCATCTCTTTTCCTAATGACCATATGAAACACTGACCCCAGTCTGCACAGGACATCCTCAAATGTCTCAAATACTCACTGACGCTGCTGAGAGTGTCCCCAGTGACCCTAGGCTGATGCCCCCATAGTGATCCAGGCAGGAGAGACTCAGGCTGACTTTGCGGGGTGCAAACAGAAAATGGAACTGCCCTGATGGAGCTGCAGATCCTGGATCCGGATGTGATATCCCCTGTCCCTGATCAGCTAACTCAGGCAGGGGAAGGACAAAAGTACTCTAGTAACACAGGGAGGCACAGTTGGGATTATGGCTCTGGATATTTAGTGGCCTTGACTTCCCACTGCTAAGGTGCTTGTTTACATTTATAGATTCTGTCACAGCATTGTGTTCACACCAGAAGCCTCTTACACAGCTGTAGCAGGTCACTGGACAAGATCCAGAAAACTCAAAGGGCTCCACTCTGAAAGTGGGGCTTAAGATGTCTATGTTGACCTCTCATGATGCAGAAAACACCTTCTATGACTTTCCTGTATCTCTTCAACCCACAGTCTGGCCCTGTCTTGTGACTCTTAGGCAGAGGCCAGCTTTTGCGTGCAGATTCTAGGTGAGATCAATGTGTGCTGCATTCTTGAGTTACAGGAAGCAGAGTAAAATCAGAGGAAAGACCTTCTCATGAAGCCTCCTTCAACACATTCTAAAGAATATTTTGAGCTAAAAGGAAAAAATTGGGGTAACATAAGTACAGAGTTTGAGCCAAAGCTTGAAGACTGCAATCCTGGAGTATAAAGTTGCCCTGAATATACACTCCAATTAGAAGCAGTTACAAGCATATTTTTAAAGGCAAAAAGGAAGCCAGAGCAGACTGATAGAAAGGTGTCAGATATTCTTATTGGTTTATAGAAGTAACATTGGTTAGTGATTGGTCATATACATAATTAAGCTATAGGATATAGGTTATAGTGTCCAGCGTGGCATTATTAGGTTAATTTACAGACACTTGTGGCAATAGCAAGCAATTTCAAAAGACAAATAGTTCAAGGAGGGGAACGGTATGTGACTGTGGTCTCTTTTTAACACATCTCTGGGTCTGATACATTTAAAAACTTATATTTCTCAGATAAAAGTTCTTTTATCAAATTCCAGGACATAAATTCAGAATCTAGAACTGCACATTTAGGTCTTGGAGGGCTGGTGAGCCATGCACATTTGTGGGCATTTGGGGAAGGGGAGGTGGGAGGGAGAATTTCTCAGGTTTAATCGATGCGTATGTGTGATTCTGGTTAGGTTTATTGGCCCCAAATCTCTGAAATCAGTGTCAGAATGGAAGATGCCAGGAGCACTGAAGGAGGTGAAATAACTGATTACTGTCCTGAAAAGTTATTTTTGTAGAAATTTAGCCTAACTGCTCTAGAAAGGACTGTAGATCCCAAGAGAGAGACCATTCTGTTTGCAGATTTGGGAAACACTTTGCCGCACAATTTTAGGTTGTGACTGGAATCTTAAGAAAGAATGTTTTCTGAAGTGAAGACTGCTGGACATTTTGTGTACAACATCTGGTAATTCTGGACAGTGTGTGGAAAACATAACTAAAAGCTAAAACATCTGCAATCCTAAAAAAGTCTCCACAATAACAGAACCGCAAGAAAAAGTTTTGTTGTATAATTAAATCAAAATGTGATGTGCATCACAATCTAAGAGAATGCAAACACAGAAAGTCACTATAATTAAATCTCAAGTAGAAGCCTTGAAAGCACCATTTGTTATACACAATTTATTATAATTTCACCTTGTAATCTGAGAGGTCATCTGGGAGTTTCTAATTTTTCTAATAATTAAAGAAAAAAACATCTACATCTTCATGACAGGATGTAGATTTGCAATGTGTGGGTACCTTGCTGAAGGCAGCACTACAAGTCTCCTACAGAAGCTTGTGAAATAGGGTGTATGTTCTTGCTATTTACATTTCAAAGCAATAGTTCCCAGGTCCCAGATGAAGGCAATTTGGAGCAAAAAGAATAACAGCCTATTTAACTGTAAAATGACTTACACATATTTCAAAAGAAGAAGAAAATATTTAAATATAAAAGTTCTCAAACTAAATGCTTTAAGAAAAGGAGAAAGAGCAAAAATTCTTCCCATTCTAAAAAAGAGAAAGCATTAAGCCTTTTCTAATTTGTGTTTGCTCCTACAACATCAGGCCTAAAGACCTTGTCTTGAACTTTCACTGCACGTCTGAATTCTCATAGGCACCTGAGGGATGGACACCGTAGAGAATTTGTGGGGAAAGGAAAAAGCAGAAGAGAGAAAGCAGCAGCTATCCAAGGCCATGGGTGGCAGCAGGGCAGGACTGACTAAAGCACTGGTTTGTACTACAGGTACAGGCTGAGGCAGAGCTATGCTCTGATTCTGTATCTATAAAGATGAGAAGACATTAGGATCAGGCGGTCCAGAAGGCTGGGTGGGTGAAGGAAGCAAGTTCCTGCTACAGATTCAGTATCTGCGGTTGAGATGTGAGCCAGAGACTTCTGGGCACTGCGTATTATTTTTGGCAGAAGCGCTAGGGCAAAGCAGCCATGGGCACAACTCCTGAGGTGGAGACCCTGTACTGGAAGAGGGTGGCAATGCGGAGTACCGGTAAGGCGCGCTCAGGAGTGGGTTAGCATTGGGTGGGGGCTGGCAGCAGGGTGAGGAGAGGATGTTTCTCAAAACTCCTTTCCTCTGAGTTCTCAGTCCCCTCTCCCCAGGAGGAGACCAGCAGGACCCATGCAAGTGCAAAAAGGCGTCCCAGTCGCGCCTCCCGCAGACACTAGGCATCTTCCTCCAGCCCAGGCTCAGCCATGTCTTTCTTCTGACAGAAAACTTGCGGAGTTTCCTCAACACCAGCCAATGCGCTTCAGCCCCAGCAGGTGTCCAGCAACTCACTAACGACCCACCCAGAGTCGGCGCAGACCCACAAGCTCGCGCTCTTCCCGCAGCTACACTGCAGACGCCGGTCCTGCCTCTGGACACTGTCGCTCATTCTGAACGTCTGCAACAAACCAGGGGGCGCCCACAACCTCCTCAAGTTCAGCGGTCACTCACAGAACTCAGCGAAGCGCTGTGCACACACGCCACCAGCCTATTCTAAGATGCCACTCAGGAACACAGCCACGGAGGAGGCGCTCAGGGCAAGGGGACCGGTGGGAAAGTTGGGGCGGGCAGGTGAATGGCTTCAGCACTTCCTCACACACCTCACGAGAACACTTTCCTTCAAGACCGCTGGCCCAAACCGCGACCACAGGGCGCTGTCCAGTGGCAGAGTCCTGCTTGCTCACGCCGAACTCTGTTTTGACAGGGCCTCGATCTCATTCCCGGAACCGGGTAAAGAAGGGACAGGACCCCGGACCACGGCTCCTCCCACTTTGGTGCCCGCGCAGGCCGCGCCGGCATTCCCGGAGAGCTCCTCCCACAGCCCGGGGAAGGTGCAGAAGCTGTGGCCTGGGGAAAGCTGGAACGAGGAGGGCTGCAGGCTGGAGCAGAGCCGCCATGCGGGGACAGACAGGAGCCCGGGACCCTCACCGGAGGATTGAGGACCGAGGGAGGGCTGAGCGGCGGCAGCGGGGACTCTGTTCACAGACTCGGTCCCGCCGCCGCCGGCACTCCGCCCGCTGCCGATGAGGCCCCCAGCCTCAGGACGCCTGCCACACACACTCACCATTTCCCCACTTCAGGGGATCGGGAGTCTTAGCTACAAATCATCCAATACCCGCGACAGAGCGACGGGAGGCTGGGGCTGCTGCTGAATCCCGAGGCCTCCCGGAGCCAGGACGCGAAGCCCTGGCAAGCCTGAACCAGAGAAAGGCGCGCCACGTCCAGAGTGCGCGCCTGATTGGGCAGTTCTCACTCCGACACTCTGATTGGATAATACTCAATCCCCGCCCTCGAGGCCATGAGTAACAGGAATTCGCGACCACACACTCACCCAGTGAGCAAGAGTGACAGCCTGCCTGGGCCTCAGGCCCTTTCAGGCAAGAGGCTTTCTCGGGCTTGACCTGTAGAGCAGCCCAGGGTCTCTTTTAACCTTGTGTCCCACAGCCCGGGGAAGGTGCGGGGCTGCGGGCGCAGAGCTGAACGAGGAGGGCTACAGGCTGGGCAGAGCCGCCGGGCGGGGACCGACAGGAGCCCGGGACCCTCACCGGAGGGGACTGAGGACCGAGGGCTGAGCGGCGGCAGCGGGGACTCTGTTCACAGACTCGGTCCCGCCGCCGCCATTTCCCGCCGCTGCCGATGAGGCCCCCCCAGCCTCGGGACGCCCTGCCCCGCACACTCACCATTTCCCCACTTCAGGGGATCCGGGAGTCTTAGCTACAAATCATCCAATACCCGCTGGTGACAGAGCGACGGGAGGCTGGGGCTGCTGCTGAATCCCCGAGGCCTCCCGGAGCCGAGGACGCAGACAGCTGAAGCCCTAACCCAAGCCCTGGCAGGAACCAGAGGAAAAGGCCGCGCCACATCCCGGAAGCCACCGCCTCCTCTCTGGCTGCGCGCCTGATTGGGCAGTTCTCACTCCGACACTCTGATTGGATAATACTCCAATCCCCGCCCTCGGGCCATGAGTAACAGAATTCGCGACCACACACTCCACTGATGAGGCAAGAGTGACAACCTGGGGCCTCCAGGCCCTTTCAGGCAGGGCTTTCTCTCCGGGCTTGACCTGAAGCAGCCCAGGGGTCTCTTTTTAACCTTGTGTGTAAGGTTATGTCCACTTATAAAATACACGCACGCACGGACACACAGACGTACACACACGCGCGCACACGTAGATACGGACGCGCACACATGCATGCACAGGCACACACTTTTTCACAAGTGGAAGCAATATAATGACAATTATTTTAATATTTTTAGATTTCATAACCCTTCTGGCCGCTAGTCTTTTGAGTAGGACACCTGATTTAAGAGGGAAGCAATCCTCTAAAATATAAAATGTTAGCTATTTGTGAATTTTCTGTTTTTTATTAGCCACGTCAAAAATAATGTTTAGAGTGAAATTGTTGGTAATAATTTTTAATCCATTGTATCCAAAATATTGTATTAATATGTGATCAATATACAATTAGAAATAAAGTATATTTCTGATCTAATTCTTCTAAACTCACGGTGTATTTTATGTTTGCAGCACATTTTACTTCAAACCAGTCACATTCCAGGTGCCCAGTAGCTACATATGGCAGGTGGCTGCCACATTGAGCGCAGCTATGAGGGCCTCTCTTTCCTCAGGGAAGTGAGGGCCTGAACACTTCTTTTCTGCTGGAAGTAACGCACCAGCCTCTCTACCAACTTTTCTCAGGCTCAAGGGTGGGTGGGACAGTGCCCCCAGAGAGATCTGGTGCTGCAAGCTGAGAGCATCCACGTGAAGACCACGGTTTCCCAGTTACCGTTTGGTGGAGATGTGATGGTCTCCTCGATTGAGCCAGGTCGGGACTCTTGTGCCACGACCGAAAAGAATGAAGCACACGGGTGCCAGAGAGTGAGTAAGGCAAAGTAGGATTTATTAAGCAAAAGCAAAGTTCTCAGAAGCAAGAGGGGACCTGAAAGCAGGTTGCCAGAAATGAGGCTGAGGTCTAGGTCTTTTATGTGGCAAGAACAAGTATGTCTTCTGTGGGTTCTGCCCAAATGGGATGGGTAAAGTTCCCCACTAAGGGTGTTGCATCTGCGGATGCTTGGGATTGGCCACAGTGACTCCATTTTGGTTGTTACCCATGAGTGCCTAAGTGAAACTTACAGGGGGGGAGCTAAAACCACAATGCTAATGTCATGTTAATGACCTTATAATGAGCTGGGTCAAGTTAAAGACACTTAGGTTGGTTTATTGCACCTGTTCCTAAGTTGGGACAGTCCCTTTGGAGCAACATCCTGGCCTTAGAGGAAGTTCTTAACCACATTTCTTCCCGCTAACTACAGGGGTGGTGCAGGTGCGGTCCTACAGGTGTTTTCCTTCTCCCCAGACCCTCTGTCTCTACCTGCCTAACCAGCCTCCGACCACCTCCTCTATCAAAGGTTCCTCTTCCTTTCAAATACCAGACAGTAAACAAAGAATGTTGGGGCCACAGGAGGAGAGAGCACCATGTCTTCAGATCTCTTCACAGCCTTGTCCTCCAGAGTTTAGAAGTGGAGGGAAAAGATTAAAGGCAATCTTCTTGTTTTGCTATTTGTTTTTGGACCTAATCTGGACCTAATTTGGACACACAGGCTGTAACTGTGTGTTTTTCTCCGGTGGTGTGGGGCACTGTGTGAGTTTAAGCACCAATCACACGCGTTCACATCTACCTGTACTTCTGTTCCCAGAAGGAAGACCGTGAGTGAGTTGTCCAGGTCCTTGGCAACTTGAACAAATAATTGAACAAAATGCACAAAGTAACAAAGGAACAAAACACAGGAAGGAAGCATCAAAAGCAGAAATTTATTAAGGTAAGGAATAAAGCGGGTGTGGGCTTGAGCAAATGACTCAAGGTCATGGTTATGACGTTTTCTGGGTTTTAACTACTCCTTTTAAGGTCCCTATCAGCTACCACTGATCTGGATGAAGGATTTGGTCCGTGGCTAACTAAAGGCTTAGGTAAATTGGCACCCTATGCAGATGAAGGGATGGCCGGTGCTTGGCCTGCAGCCACTCCAAGGCACCTTCCCTTTCCATCTGAGAAGTGGTAGAAGGGGAAGGGTTGTAGGGAGAGTAGCCTTTGAGCGTTTGCTACTCAGGTGTGGGGAGATGGGATTTTTTTCTTTTGGTTTAGCTGTTGGAAGTTTGCCTTAAGTGGCCTTAGGGTCCCTGCCTCCAGACCTTGGTTTTTTTTTCTTTTAGGAAGTCAGCACAAATTGGCCTTAAGTTCTCTGCCTCCAGACCCGATTCTCCTGCCTCCCTTCTGTACAAACCATTGGTCATACATAGTTCATCCTAAACTCACCTGGTAATTGGGGAGGTCTTCTGTATACTGGTTGGTTATATGCAAAGAAACAATAAACTTCCAACATCATGATAGGAGGCAGTTTTGCAACTTAGAGCCAGGTGCCTGTTGCAGGTAAGCCTACCTTACCTTCAGCTCTAAGTCACTCTCAATCTCTTACAGAAACAGTGAGATAGGGTACTATCATCTTGGCTATATATATATATATATATATTTTTTTTTTTGAGACGGAGCCTTGCTCTGTTGCCCAGGCTGGAGTGCAGTGGTGCAATCTCGGCTCACTGCAAGCTCCGCCTCCTGGGTTCACGCCATTCTCCTGCCTCAGCATCCGGAGTAGCTGGGACTACAGGTGCTCGCCATCACACCTGGCTAATTTTTTTGTATTTTTAGTAGAGACGGGGTTTCTCCATGTTAGCCAGGATGGTCTTGATCTCCTGACCTTGTGATCCGCCCACCTCAGCCTCCCAAAGTGCTGGGATTACAGGCGTGGGCCACCGTGCTGGGCTGGCTATTTATATTTCAAAGCAATGGATACCTACTCCCTAAGCCCTGGGCTGCAGCAATTCTGCTTGCCCTCTCCTGGTGGCCTGTGTCCTCTCCCAAACCCTGCCATCTACCACTGAGGCACAGCCCACAGCTGGCAGCTCACATTTTACATGGAACACAACTGCCACAGATGCACTGCAGTGCCGGGCTACAGAGGCGGGGTCCCTGAGCTGCGGGAGGAGAGCCTGCAGGGCTCCTGGGTAGAATTGCACTTTGCGATAGGGGAACAGGAGCAATGTTTCAGCCTCGATTTCTGTTTATAATAGTGACACAAAAAGAATATTGCTGGATACACAGCATGGATCTAGATAGAGGAGCTCCAGGAGTTCTCACTCACAGACAGACACCATGTGATAGTAATGAGGGCTTAGACACAGATACTCAGAGCAGTTTAGAAGACAGCTCTCAGTCTGAGTAAACTGTACTGAGAGAAGAAAAAGGGAGTTGAAAGAATCTTAAAGACAAATTCAGATTACATATAACATTGGTCAAATTGACAGGAAAATATTCCCAAGGAAGTTCTTCTCTAAACACCTGAAAGTGCAGTACTATCTCAGCATGAGACACACAAGTATGAAGAAGAGAGCTTATTCACAGGCAAATTTCCTCCTCTGCTGCTCTCCCATCTGCTGGCCGTTGGATTGGGAATCTATACTGTAACACCTGACAACCTCCACCGGCACTATTTGATGAAGAGTGGAATTCTCTATTCCACGTGGTAGAATATCAGAGACTGCAAGATAGCTAATAAGAGGTACTATGATTCTTGGGTAGCCCACATCAACTGCATTTATTTGTCCTGGAATAGTGGCATTCCTAATTTAGTAAAATGAAAGAATAGGCTGTAAAATTATATTTGACCTATAATTATACCTATAGGATCAATTAATAAGCATGTCAGGTTAATATCTACTATAGCAATGTGGTAGTAAATTTTCTTTGGGTATTAAATATAAATGTCTACATATAAATAATTTTAATATACTAGTCATAATGTATATATATTTAAAATTATCCATAAAAGCTTAATTACAATATTTTATAATACTTTATATTTCAAACAAATTAATACTTATATTAAAGTTATATAAACTTAATTCAAACAAATTAATACTTATAATAAAGTTATATAAACTTAAAGCTATAATGCTTTATATTTCAAATTAATAATATTAATATTAAAATTACTATTTAAGAGGTTTATTCAAAATAAATACTGTGGCCTTATAGTCACACAATTGTAGAAAATACTGTTTAATTTACATGGATGCA